CAGCAATAAATTATGATTAATATTATGTACTTCCAGTGGCCAATTGCCTACTACTACTTCTTCTTCTTCTTCTATGCCTACTATTTAGAATATTATTAAAAGGCAGACCAATTTTAAATTAATTTCACCCGCCGAGAAAAGTGCAGGGCAAAGACAAAGCAATTTCAAATTTGGCCATTCGCTGCGGTGCAAGCACTGTCGATTGAACGGCAATTGAACGCCAGTTGTGCCAGCTCCTCTGTTTCGCCCGTTGCTGGTTGCCCTTGCTAGTCCTGTTGGCCCTGTTGTTGTTGATGTTGTTGTTGATGTTGATGTTCTCTCTCTCTCTCTTTTCCTCCATCTTGCTCAAACCCATAGCGTCTTGCGTCGATTAAATTAAATGTTTGTTTTTGGCTTGCTATTTTATTTGGTATTTATACAATTCACTGCCAATTTAAAATATTGCTGCACTGGTGTTCCCTCTCGAGCTCCTTCTCTCAATTTCTTATTTATTTATAGGATAAATAATGTTTTATTGCTTCTCAAAAAAGTTTGACAGTTTCAATTGAATGTGCCGAATATTACTCTCTGAAAGTGAGAGAGAGAGAGGAGAGAATTAATATGGTTGGCGGGAAAAAAGAAGAGGGTTCTCTGCTGCTGCCTTCTTGGAAAGATGCGGAAGGGGGAAACAGTGAAAGGATGAAGGCAATAACAGCAATTCAGACGATGGATAACATTTTAAAAATGACACTGCTCAGTGAGGAGAATTGGCAGTGGGGAAGAAAGTGCAGTGTGCACATGCACTGGGCGCCAATAAATTGGTCTCCTCCGTATTGATTTATCATTATTTGTAAATATGATTTGTTCTTATCAACTGCCCAGTGAGGCTGTGTGCCACTTGCTCTGTTACTAGTACAACAACAACAGCAACTACTGCTAACTTTAACACTGAATGCAAAAAACTAGCTTTTTTGAATGCAAATGTTCCTAGTTGCCACCAACTTGGGTGTGTGTGCCAAGTGCCGTTTAGCGTTTTCCATTTACAGTGAGATTCTCTCCGGTTCTAGTACTTTTAGGTAGTAGTATGTGACTGTGAGAAGTGCTGCCATCGCCAAGACCATCATCCGCAGCGTCAGCATCAGCACCGACAAATGGCAAGTGCCATGTTTGCCATTTGGGCCACAGTGGTAGTTGCAGTGGTGTGTGTGCGAGGCACAAAAAGCGCCATTTGCGCTCTTCATTTTCACTCCGTCTCTTCCTTTGCCTACCACCACTGCCATTGTCGTCAAGGCATTGGAGGCGATAATGGCCATTTCATTGTTGGCTAATGTCATCCTCTAATTTTGCAATCTTGCAGCAATAATTTGCTTTCCCACTCACTCAAGAATCAGAGAGGAGGAAGAAAAGAGTGCAAAGGAAAAAAAGTCGGTTCACTTTTATTGGAATTAATGGCAGCGTTCATTGTTATTGCCTTTGTTATTGCGAATTGATAGTGTCGGTGTCTCTGAGCGCACTTTCTTTTTTTCTTTTCTCTCAGTACTTTTCTCTAACTATGTTTCCCCCAGAGCCACAGTAGTGCTCCTTCTTTCCCTCTCTGCTGATGCTATCAATGGCTTTTCTTTCTATGGCTTCGAGTTGCTATTACTAAAATTAATAAATTCGAATTTAATTTCTCTTCAGTCTGTCGATTATTACACAAGAAAGACGTAGTTTTGGTATCCTTCGCAACGACCTAATGTGTCAATAATTTCGCTGTGCCTGCAGTAACAAATGAAGACAAATTTGCTATTATTGTTTATACTGTGCTCAAACTATCTAGCACTCGTTAATGTCATCTTTGGGAACTAACACCAACAGAAACATCACTTGGAAGCCATTGTGACTGCTTTTTTAAAGTTAGCACACTTTAGGCTAAAGGAAACGACGCCAGAGAAAGAGGGAGGGGAGAATGCTAAGTCAAATTGGCAAAGTGAGAATGAAACAAACTAACTGAGTGCACCGATCTATCTGCTTTGCTCACTCACTTACTGTGCTCTTCCTCGTCACTTTGCCTCTTTTGTTCGTTTGTGTTTCACTTTTTAATTGGCTCCAATCAGACTGGACACACGGCACACATTGCTTCAATCATAAAGTGGTAATAGCAGAGCATGACTTTGAATAGTGCTCTAGCTTACAAAAACGTTAACTTGTCGGTGCTCTGCACTCTGACTGTTTGTCGTGTTGCAATTTGCTGAATGACTGCCGTTACATTTCATATAAATGCTGGCGAATCTATTTGCCAAGTGACAAGCGTCCTCGTCGTCGACGTCGTCGACGACAGTCAGTCAGTCAGTCCAGCAAGCTGTCCCCCTCTTTTTGTTGTTCGCAGTCGGCTCTGAATCGAGCCGGCCAATCGTCATTTTCCAATTTGCTATTTTCCAATTGCCAATCGATCTGTCTCTTTCTTTCTCTCTGTGTGTGTATTATTTACTGTTGTTCCCGGACAGATCGTTAAAATCTAATAATGGCCGTAAATATTAGCTCGCCCGGTGATTGCAGCCGCGTAGTGTGTGAGTGTAAGCCAAAGTGTGTGCTGAACAGCAGAAGAGAATGCGAGGGACTCTCTCTCTCTCTCTCTCTCTTTCTCTCTTCTGGTTTGTAGCCAGTCAAACTCCCCAAACAGCGATTAGCCATGACTGCTCTTGACAAGGCCAACTAATATTGCCATTGCCGAAATTGCAGTGCCTGTTCGCCCGTCTAACGGCACATTAGCGCCAGTACAAATTTAAATTCTTGCAGAGAAAACAACACACTTGCCACACTGTACTCTGTGCCCTGCCTAATAGCGAATTAATTTGCCCTCACACATTCTGGCCCATGTTAGCACTGACTTGCAGCCAACTTGCCTGACAATTCATTACAACATTATACACTGCGGCTGTGTGTCGTTTGTCGGTGTTGTTGCTGCTGCTGCTGTGTGCATTGTGTCAGTGCCAAACGGTGCTGCCGACGATCTTCTACCACTGCTGCTTCTAGAGCAGTTTTATTTGGTGTCAGCTTTGCCGCCAGTTTGACTGCATCACACACACAGACAGTTTTGTCGGCCATGCCAATAATTTACGAGCAATCAGATAGGCAGATCGTGTGTCGGTGGAAGTCAGCCAACCAATCATCATATTCCATTCAGTTGGGCCATTTCACTTTCACGGCGCACTGGGCCATAGCTAGCCTGTCGCTGGAGCTCAGCATCAGGCGCACTTCACCACCAGTGCCCTTCGCCATCACCCGAAATGATCATCATCGTCTAGCAGCTAGCACTTTGAGCAAGTATGTTTTGCAAATTGGAATCTATCACACTTTAATTTGCCATTAAAAGTAGTTTCTCTGTATGTGTGTTTGTGCTCTACTCTGCAACAACTGCAGAAATGGGCTCCACAATGGCACCATTTGTGCCAACACTGCAGCAAAAAAGTCTGTTTGTGTGTGTGTGTCTGTGTCTGTGTGTGCATTGTCTTTGTTTCTCGTCTGCTGGCACGATTAGAATGGGGGATATTTTCCAGCTTAGAGGCAATTAATGTTGACAGCCCAGTGCCCGACACTGCCATCAATATGACTGGCTAATCTGATTAAGGACAAGAGAGAGCCAACCAGCAAGGGGATAGCACTCGGTGTCTTTGCACTCGCTCACCAGAGAATGCACGCACACAAAGGGTGATCCACTTTGTTTGTTCAGCTCCCATTCCCCCTTCTCTCTCTCAGTCGGCTTCAATCTGCGAAGCGATACATTTTAATTGCCTTCGCATGCTAATTCGGTTTGTTTGCACTCGGCACGGCCTTTTGCGTGTGTGTGGCGGCGTCACTCCATTAGAGAGGGCGAGAGGGAGAAGATCGGTCAATGCAATCGGGTAATGCTACTGCCATTGCCACACGATTCATCACCGGCGTTCTCTCTCTCTTTTTCTCTCATCGGCTTTGCCCTTACGGTAGTGTTGCTGTTCAGCAGTTGCCTTCTCCCTATTCAACAGAGACAATGCATCTTTGCAAACGTGCTCACGTCTAATCGGCTGCTGTTGCTGCCGCTGGAGCTTAATTGAACCTTAACCAGAGCTTCTCTCACTCAATTCCTTGCCTGATAGTTTGCAGCTCACCAGCACTTGATTCCGCAACCGCCTCGGTCAGCCCTGGTGGGCACAT